ATCCCCCCCAAAAAAACTCACAACGTGAGACCAGACCATGTTTGACCGGGGAATGAAAAGCCAAACAGGATGAGACAGAGGTTGTTCCGTCTGGTGCAGAAGAACGTAGGGAAGCTTCCTTATTGTGTTGGCCAAAGTATTCTTGACCATTATGGTCAACAACTTTCAGGCAGGTATCCTGACCAATTCTGGTGGGGAGTCTTTCCGTTCCCTGTCTGGAAAAACTGGAGATTGAAGCCACTGTCTAAATCCCTGCAGAGAAGGAGTACGGCTATAGAATCTCCTCACCCTTTTTTTTTTCCAAGCTGGTGAGTGATGGGTTGAAATCATCAGGGAGCAATAGAAGCAGAGAGGAAGGCACAAGATTCTACAGCCACTCCTAAGGCCCTTTCCATCTCTATCACTTCCTTTGTAGCGACTCAGCACAGTCACACACAAGGATTGTGCTACTGCAACCACTAGCCTACCTGACACTTTGTCAACTGTTTAACACCCCAAAGTGAGAGTGCTGCCTTTTTGACTCAGCCTTCCAAAAATTATCTGCACAGTCAGATTTGAAGACAAATGGTACTTCTATCAACGGAGGATTCTCTCTCTCAGCTCCGAGGGACGGGAAAGCTTATTCTTAATCTTCAGCTATTTCTTTCCCTTTCTCCTTCCCCCCCCCACAAAAAAAGAAGAAAAGAAAAATACTCCACTTTGCACTCTGCCCACGTTGCATATGCTACGAAAAGATGGTTTCGTTTTCATGAAAAGATCCAAAACAAAATATGGAGAGGTTAACAGGGATCTCCAGACCGGACTGGGAATGTGCAGATGTTTCTAGACTACAACTCCCATCCTCCTGACCCTTGGCAAGGCTGGAGGGGGCTGGGATGCAATACCAGATGGAGGAGCACAGGTGATTCCTCCTGCTGCTCTATTGGGAGCCTGAAAGTGTCCTTATACAGAATTATCTCCTTGGTCCGCCTCATGAACCCCCAATGGGCAGTGGCTTTCCAGGGCTCCAGGCAGATGTTTCTCCAGCTCTACCTGAAACTGCTGGGAGGGGGGGGTTGAATCTGTGACCCTCTGCATGCAAAACATGTACTCTATCCACAGGACCACAACCCCTGCTCCCCTTCAAAACCATAAGAGCTCTCCTCTTTTAGACACCTGCATCCAATTCCTAACAGTATCCCAACATCTTGTTCTCTCACATGTCAAGTGGCTTCAAGACATACTCTGGAAGCCAAGCTTTTTCCCCGCTCCCACCAACCCTCCCCATTGTCTCAAGCGATGGCTTGTTAAAGAAACCAACTCTCTGGCTTCTTTCAATGCCATTCACCCAAGTGATCGTATCTGTTAAGGATGCTGGATGAGTGTGTAACACGTCTTCTTTTTGCTGACAGGAACACTTACACAAAGTAGGGTTGATGGTGATTATGGAGTTTTTTGGGGGGGGAAGAAGGCAGAGGAAGAATATTTCAGCAAGCCCTCCCCCCTCCAAGGGTTCACCATATATGTAGCAATAATGCAATATAAGCCATTGTGGGACTATTATCACATTTAATATTTAATTTATATCCTGCCTATCTAGTCAATTGTGACCACTCTAGGCGGCAATATAAGCCATTGTGGGACTATTATCAATTGAGAGATCATATTCCTTGGATATTTTCTCTTTGGAAATCAATGACTGAATGGTACTCGTTTCTCCGTGCCTCTCCCGACCTGCTTCCATGCCACGCAAATAAAGGCCAATGGGGCTAATATGAAAAGCACACTTTTCAGAAAAGAAAAAAAATAACTAAGGATAAAATAGATGATGACTTCTTAGCACAATGTTACAGGAAAGCCTACAATTTTTGCACATGTACTTATGTGCATGCACGCACACACCCATGGTGATGTGCATACATGCTATCAGTCTATGGTACAACCTCGCCAGTCGTGTGCCCTGCTATTCACAGCAACCACCACCTTCTATAACGCAGAAGATGCGGGTGGGGGGGGGAGAAGAAGCGCTTGCTGGGCAAGGCCGATCTTCCGCCACGAGATGTCTCGCCTCTTGCCTGCATCCTATCCGGGCCAAACGCATTAGCTGCATAATCAGGAGAGCCGACTTTCTGCACCTCTTGGAGACCCCCAAGGGGATTATCTTAAAAAGGGGGGGAGTGGCGGTGGCTATGGAGAATCCCCCCCTTCCCGCCCATACTTGCCTCCCAGCCCTGCACGATGCACTGGGTGAGTGGGTGTGCGTGTGCCTGCGTGGGTGGGTGGGTGCGCATCTATCAGCATCCACGGTCATCCCTGACAAGTTGTCTTGGGAGAGTTTCTCCAGCAAGGCTGTTCTCCCGCAAGAGACACAACACACACAAATACACACACATACACACACGCGCGGCCCCCCGCGCTTCCTGGGCTCCCTTCTCGCTGCCCTCGCGGGTCCGCGGGGCGCTGTCCAAGGTGCTGCGGCCCGGCTCGTCCAGGCTGAAGGCAAGGGGAGTCTCCGTTTTGTGCCGAGAAAATGCACGGACG